CGTTCTGCAAACAGTCAAATTATGCGAGATACGCGCCCCCGGTGTACGTAGATCTCGTCGAATCTCGGATCATTACAAGCGCGAGGTAGAACAAACTTCACACGAGCGAGTGTATTGATGGCTGCAGAGCCGGATCAACCTGCGAAATCTGAGGGGAGACAATAATGTGAACAATTTCTTGACGACTTAAAAATATCGCAATTTTTTTTTTAATTTTTTTTTGTATTTTTTGTGTTTTTTTTTTTTTTTTGCTAGGCAAATCCAACCAAGCTTTAAACGTTGTCTTTCATTCTACTTGTAACTATAACTCTAGCCTAGATCCATCTCTATTCGTAGAATTAGGTTTTGTTCAGCCGGTTAAACATTACCTGTACAAATAGGGTGTTGTTTGGTATTACCAGAAGAGCTGGGGTGTACTTCGGCTGGCTAAACATTACCGGAAGTGTTCTTTAGTGGGCTAGACATTACCGGGAGTCTTCTTTAGTGGGCTATACATCACTTGTGCCAATAGGGTGTAATTCAGCGAGCTAGACTTTACATGAAATGTTGTATAGTGGGCTAAGCATTTCCAATAGAACTGGGATGTTCATCAGCTGAAGCTGATTGATTTCTTGCTTAACCATGTCTGGAATGACATGTTAAAAGTGGCCATTCTTACTGGATGTGATTGACTGAACAGGTGTCACTTTTTGTTCACTTCAACTTTATTTCTCCTCTTCATATGTTTACGGTGTATCACCCATCCCCCCTCCCCCCCCCCCTCCCCCCGAAAAAAAGGCATGACATATGCAATTTTTTTTCTCTCTACTCCACCAATTCTCTATCTATTCCCCCCCCCCCAATACATTAATCACCACTTTACTCATTTTCCCAGTTTTCCCACAAACTGGGCACTCTACGCTTTGTTCGATCTATGCAATAAATATATTGTACGGGGTAATTTAGCGTAAGCGTTTGTTCTACGAAACGTTCATTCTAGGAAGTATTCTTTACACAAAACTTTGAAGCATCAAAACATATTTTCAAATTAAAGTAAGAATCGAATACGTTTAGGAGACGGTCGAGAATTATTTCCCGTATCGAATACTACACGGTAACAAGACATCGCATGCCACAATTAACAAAACAACAACAATAACAACTTACTAATAAATGCCATCAAAATTCTGCATTGGTTTACATCATACGAGTCGAATTACAAGAGGAAGGAATGCAAAACAAGTTTAATTTACATCAGAAACCATATTCACTAAACTGAGAATATATGTATCATATAACTTTCGCGCATAGTGTTGAGAAAAAAAACCCAAGAAATCTCGAAACTGAAACTGTCCATGAAATATGCTTTTACAGTAAGCGAAAAGAAATTCTCATGTCTGCTTCTATATCTTCATTAAAAGACGCCGGTAAAAAATATAATCGAAAGATATGGGGGGAAAAGTGGAAATTTAAAAAATGGCGGAATTTTAAAAAAAATGGGGTAAAAGAATCAATGAAGCCAAGTTGCGAAAGAGGCAGTTATTAGATTATAATTATTTACAATTGATCACTTTTCATTAAAAATGTTCCAAGGTTAAAAAAGAAAGTTAGCTTACAAAAAAATATTTGAGTGATATTTTTATTAGGGGACGCGTCATTGAAATGATTCATTTCCCCGATAGAAATTTGGGGCTGGTAGCAGTTTATGTTTTTATTCTGCCGAGGCCATTTCAATCTTAAAATATAATTTTAGCAACTTATAAATCATTTTTATTTGCTTTAAATCAAGCGATGCCATTTTTTAAAAATATCCAGCAAATGTAAAAAAATAAAGGCAGATTTTTTTTATATTTCTGCACAATACATTTTTTAATTAGTCACAAGTTCATTAACAATTATTTTTGTTATATTATAACAATTATAATTTATAATAATAATTATTATTATATGTTATTTTATCAGCATTTTCTCAAAATGCCAAACCTTCATCTCTTTCTAAATGATCATCCCAAAACCAGACCATTGGTCTTAACTACATTTTCTCCAATCTCTAAATGCAGAAAATCCTGAACTTCATGATACATTACAACGTGGGCTCTCCCAAAACACAATAAAAAATCACACTTAAACATACATCAATGTAACACAAAGCCACGCCTACAAATATTATACACAACCCCACAAACCAATAAACGCGAAGATCGAGATATGTAAAAAAAAAAAAATGAAATAGGATCGAAATAAAACAAACATAAAAATATTTTAAAAAATAAAAAAAACATGCATGAATATTTGAGCAGGTTTTATTTGAAACAACTGGTATAGTATTTTCTAACGCAATAACTTGATTTGCATTCAACTCGATTTTCTTACTCTTCAATTGTTGAAGCATCCTGCAATATTTTCAATTGAGTAAAAAAAAAAAGAATAAACAACCTTATCATATATCATGGGTTGCGGTAACATTACTCGTACAGTGAATTATAAATTAAGAAGCAAATCATTAATTCAAACTAAGAGCTCACTCTCAATTAAACAGTAAATAATCAAATAAAATATAGTTTACACGTAAACTAAAACCCCTAAACATATTAAGATCAATTACATTATTATAGTTTTGAATTTACTTCGTTTTTCATACTCCGGTTGATACTTTTGTTTTGTTTGTTGTTAATTACGAAAAAGCGTGTTGGGTGAATGTAGGATTATGGGATAGCATGAAAAAAAAGGGATGGAAGGGGGGTGTGTGTTAATGATTAAAAATTTAAAGGCGGCTCAGAATTCTTTTGTGAAATACCGTCGCAGCGATATACGAACCGAGGGGTAAAAAGAAGATGTTTCTCATTATTTCTGCAATTTAAAATCTTCTCTGTAATGGGTGAGCTACATGCATTGGCAAGCAGACACCGCCTACTTGGGTTTCGATGCCCAGGGTGATAGCGGCGACACCCTGATTGTGAAATGCTAGGGTTTTTTTTGTTGGTTTTATAAATAACATTTAAGAAGCTTAGCTGCAGTTGGAAGAAAGGGGGGGGGGAGGGAAGCTCAAATTGGACCCTTAGCTTCATCTGCTTAAAGCTATTCTGTTCGTATTTTTTTTTGTTTAATTGAAAATGTAAAACGAAATTGTATTAGTTACATTTCAAGAATGAGTGTTAGAAATGCACGTTATTGTTTAAAGATGGAACAAAAGTTTGATTTAAATTATTTATTCTTTGTGCTTCTGTTTGTCATTGCCATGGTGTGTCAATATGTTTACAGAGATACTCAATATTGTTTAACAAAGACAATCCACATGCATTATATATATATATATATATATATATATATATATATATATATATATATATATATATATATATATATATATATAGGCCTATATATATATATATATATATATATATATATATATATATATATATATATATATATGAATGTGTGGGTGTGTGGTTAAAGAAACGTCCATTCCCATCATACCAAGTAACACAAAACAGGTCTTATTAATTTCACAATTCTGGAGATTAACTCTTTTATTAAGTTGATGAACCTGTATTTAATTTTCCTATCGCGTTAGATAACTCTTTATTCAGGTCCGATAACTCTGCCACACGCTTAGTTAAAAATCAATATCAGGTGTTTTTTTTATTTTATTAAATCGTTTCTTGTTCAGCCAAATCTAAGATTTAAACTTAAACAACACTTTATTGAAATCTTGTAAGTTTTTAATTTAACTGACGAAAAAAAAAAAACCCCCAACTCGGATGAGATAATTGATGAACATTATTCCAGACCAACGATCCGCCAAACACTTCTGGCACCATGAACTCAAATCTTGAGACCCGCTGTGAAAAAAAATTAAAAAATCGACCGTGTCTGCTTTTAAAAGGGAGACGCGCTTCGCGGAAACACAACTCAATGATTATTATCCGTGTCGTTAGACAGTAACTAAAAACTCACGTCGATGACTACTGTTTCAGTACACCGCCCCCCCCCCCCCTCCTTACACATCCCCTCCCTCCCCCTCCCCGATTGCTGGAAACTTTGACTCGCCCTCAGGCTTGCGGGTAGGTACCTAGGTCTATAATCACACGTAGTACGTGTTTTGGTGGGGATAGAAGGGAGTGGGGGGGGGGGGGGGATAGCTCAACGGGGTAATTTATAACAGTGGTACCGTTCTCTATCGTTATATTGCGTTTTAATATTTTGCCTCGAGGGGGGGGGGGGGGAATTTTATTGGGGAAAGAAAAAAAAGTTTTTTTAATTATAAGGTGAGACTTAAGCGAAATGTTAAAACTGGATTGAGTTATGTTTGAATCTGTATCTAGCCTGGGTTATATGTATGGGTTAATGAGAGACCACAAGCTTTCTTACAACAAGCCTCGGGTAACTAAGTCAATGAATGACGCAGTTTTTTGAAGAAATATAAATATAAGCATGTATTTACTACAAACAGTTATTGGTTTTTGTTTTCTACTGCTTGTTAAAATGGTTCGATCTTGCCTTTGTGTGATGGGTATATTTAGATGAGAGGACTTGCTTGATCTGAATTCGATTAGTTAACAATGAAGACTTAGACTAACTACAGCGTTATGGATGGAAGAAAGAGTAATGATAATTGCAGGGGTCACTGTCAGTGCTTTGACTAGACCCTCCACTGTCAGTGCTTTGACTAGACGCTCATCTGTTAGTGCTTTGACTAGACGCTCCACTGTCAGTGCTTTGACTAGACCCTCCACTTTCAGTGCTTAGACTAGACGCTCCACTGTCAGTGCTTTGACTAGACGCTCAGTGCTTTGACTAGACGCTCAGTGCTTTGACTAGACGCTCCACTGTCAGTGCTTTGACTAGACGCTCCACTGTCAGTGCTTTGACTAGACCCTTCATTGTCAGTGCTTTGACTAGACGCTCAGTGCTTTGACTAGACGCTCCACTGTCAGTACTTTGACTAGACCCTCCACTGTCAATGCTTTGACTAGACGCTCCACTGTCAGCGCTTTGACTAGACGCTCCACTGTCAGTGCTTAGACTAGACGCTCCACTGTCAGTACTTTGACTAGACGCTCCACTGTCAGTGCTTTGACTAGAAGCTCCACTGTCAGTACTTTGACTAGACCCTTCATTGTCAGTGCTTTGACTAGACGCTCAGTGCTTTGACTAGACGCTCCACTGTCAGTACTTTGACTAGACGCTCCACTGTCAGTGCTTTGACTAGACGCTCCATTGTCAGTGCTTTGACTAGACGCTCCACTGTCAGTACTTTGACTAGACGCTCCACTGTCAGTGCTTTGACTAGACGCTCCACTGTCAGTGCTTTGACTAGACGCTCCACTGTCAGTGCTTTGACTAGACGCTCCACTGTCAGTGCTTTGACTAGACCCTTCATTGTCAGTGCTTTGACTAGACACTCCACTGTCAGTGCTTTGACTAGACGCTCCACTGTCAGTACTTTGACTAGACGCTCCACTGTCAGTGCTTTGACTAGACGCTCCACTGTCAGTGCTTTGACTAGACGCTCCACTGTCAGGGCTTTGACTAGACGCTCCAATGTCAAGGTGAGAGGTTAAAATGTGATTGAAAGTCTACATTTTGAAAGTTGAGCAAGTTATGTTGAAAGTCTATATTTAGAATATTTGAGTATTAGATTTTGAAAGTCTATATTTTGAAGGTTGAGCAATATATGTTGAAAGTCTCCTTTTTGAAAGTAACGGAATACATTTTGAAAGTCTACATTTTGAAAGTTGTTTAATAGGTTTTGAAAGTCTACATTTTGAAAGTTGAGCACTTGATGCAATTAAAGTTAGACAATTAAAATAATTAGTTTGCTAAGAAAGCAGAGTGGGTATAATGATAGTTAATTTAAAATCAAACATAATTAAACGCTATTTTAATTCGGTTTCGACTAAAACAACAATTTAACAATTAAATATACAATTTTATAAAAAAAAATCTCTGTTATTCTCCGTTGTCACAGTTTCAAAGAAATAAAATCCACAATCTCCTAAAGTCATCTGGTTTTTGTATGAATCTAATCTTCGGCTGAATTATACTCAATGACATAATGTTAGTTCCCATGACACACAAATAAGAATCAGTATCTAGTTATCACTCACTACTTATTCTTTCCTTCTTATGGATCACGGCGCCCCAATAAAATCTCCAGCTATATCTAGTACCCGGCAGTGTATTTATCTAAACATTAAGCTCCCGGGTTGCACAAACCTGCAACCACACCTCTATATCGGACTATATTTAAGGTCTCTCTTTAGAGACCATATAAGCCCTGCCGCCCTTGCTTCGCTTCCAACAGTATTTTTCTTGAGGTTCTAGTTCTGCCCACGTCTAAGAATTAGCCGAACAAAATGGTGTTGATCCTGTATTCTTTAACTATTTGTTTTAATTACGATCCTGTTGTATTTTTTAAAAACATTCATCATAAGAACTAACAAATCAGTGTATATATGAAGGTTTAACACGTATCTGATACATATTTTATTATAACAAATATCACGAAATCGTGACCTTGTGGAATTATATCTAACAATACGAAATACATTACGAAACAAATGAAATGATGATATAGAGAAAACTGCAAGATATGATGAATACGTAATGGATAAAAGGAAAATGTTTGATAAAATGTACTTGAATGATGTCACCTTATACCGCGTTGCTATTTTTACCTGTAAAGAAAGGACATGGTCGGATTACCAGGCAGCTTAGGATTAACCCTGGCTTAATGCAATCCTCGGCCGGCACAAAGGTAAAACGCGAGCAGGTCAAGATACAAGGTATACAATTAACGAGCGGTTAGTGTTTATCAAGGGAAGTAACCTAAGACACACATGGGCTTAATGCAAAGATTACACCTGAAAGATTATCATATATGAAATGTGTGGTTTGTCAACATATAAAAACAGATGAAATGTCGTTACGTTGTTAGCGTTAGCAAAACGTATACAAAAAACAATTTCAGAGAAATCTTTGCTTAAATATTCCCAAATGATTGTCTAAAATTGTACGGGGTGCTTGCAAAGTTTGAAACAATAGTGCAGTCTTTTCTGTTGTGTGCGACTAAGCTTGTTTGTTCTCTCTTCTTTCTTTCTCTATTTATCTTACACTACATACCCCTGACACTGGTATCTTAATCTCTCCACCTTACCTGTAGTCCCACCTGTCTCACTCATATCGTCTCACTAATTCACGTGACACCCGTCTCTTCTGTGTTGGTCTCACTTTCATTGGTTCTCTCACTTATCAAGGTACACACAATTTTTACCGAGAGACAAAGTGAACTTAAGACTAACAAAAACCATACTTCAGTATACACACACAAATTACTGACAAAGTGAACTCAATGTCATACTTCACAAAAGCCATACTTCACAACACAAAATTACTGACAAAGTGAACTCAATGTCATACTTCACAAAAGCCATACTTCACAACACAAAATTTACAGACAAAATGAACTCACGCAATACTTCACAAAAATCATACTTCAACAAAATAATACAACAATTTTACTGACAAGTTGACTCACGGCCATAAGTCACAAAAAAGCCATACTTGACTAAAAAAACACAATCTTTACTGACAAAGTTGACTGACGACCATAAGTCACTAAAAAAAATCTCTGACAAAGTTGACTCAAGGCCATTCTCCACGAAGACTATACTTCACTTAAAAAGATGACCTACTTCCCTCAGATTACAACTACATCCTCTTATTTCGCCAGAAATGTATCCAAACCAATATTACCTGGCCACTTTAACCTAGCCTTGTACATAAAGGGTAGGGGGGGGGGCTGTAAGATCGGCAATTAGAAATAAGTGATAAATAATAGCGTCTTTAGGAGAATCTAGAGTAGATTTTAGTGTTACTTTAAAAAAATAAAATCAAATTTATCTTTCCTCATTACTTACCTAAAGTTATTTCATAGAAGTACACAAGAAAAACATTTAACTACTTTTTTTTTCTAAATCTAAGAAGCTTGTTTAGAAGTTACAATAAAAAAAACAATCAGCTTTTCAACAGTTCTGTTCAATCAATTCCAATATTAAATCTATTAAGAGAAACAAATTAATTTCAACAGCTTACCAAAGCGCGAGAGAGGTTGACATGGGGGATGAGATTGGAATCAATAAACACAAGCTCATCTTGTCAATCAAGGAGTGGCCGGCGCCACAAAGACAATTAATTGACACCGGTGATGATACGTCTTAGTGCAGACCTTACAGTGCTTCGCGGAGCTATCAAAGCCTCTTCGCGGAGCTATCAAATCCTCTCCGCGGAGCTTCATCGGCTTCGTGTTGTTTTTAAAAAAAAATTGGAAAAGGTTGGGTTGGGGACGGGAGCAGGGACTGGGGTGGTGATTTAAAGAAATGATCAAGGTGTGTCTAGATCGATATCTCGTCATCCGCTACAAGCTTCAGTCCGTTTAGTTTTTCTGTTAAGATATTTTTAAAAAAAAAAGATACCTTCACGATTCAACACTTTTGTATAGGTGTATTATGTTGAGCTGACAATTTTGTAGCTGAGCTAAATTGGTAGTGAAAAGTTAAATTCCGTGTCAAATCATGTCAGACTAAAATTATGATTGCTTTTTTTTAAACGACTGTGTGTTAGAAATATTTTAGAAGCATCTGCAGATTTGTTTCGTGAAGTTTTGTTTATTTAGTAAACGTAGATTTGATGAGAGATTTTTAAAAATAGATTTAAAATAAGACTTATGTTTGCGGTTGGATCTTGAGAAGTACTCAGCAGTAAATTTTTTAGTTGTCTGTAGACTTAAAAAAACAACTTATAGACTTTATTTTCCTAAAGACATGATTATTCTAAAGACTTAATTTTTCTACAGACAGACTATTTCTACAGATTTGATTTTTCTACATGAGGCCTCGTTCTACAGATTGAATATTTCTAAAGACAACCTCATTCTACATACTTGGTTTTTTTACCGTCGTGTGCCAAAGTTTAAAGACATGTGCTTCCTATATAGGTAATTTCCTTCAAAAGTACGTCTGAACAGAGTGTCTTCCAGGCATCTCTTTAGGGTGCGCCCGAAGAAACTTTACCGCCCCCCCCCCCCCCGAACGAAATGGCATTTATATAGAAAACATAAACTTTTACTATTGTCCGCCTTCCTTTCCCCCCGAAAATGTTGTTGTCCACCCCCCTCCCCCACCCGAGAAGAGAAAAAGTCTGGAAGAAACACTGCGTCTGAAAGTCTTTGATCCTAATCTATGGCAAGCACTATCATCCTACACCAAATAACGGTCATAACCAAAACCCTGACGATATCAATAATCCTAACGTTTTTATGGCCCTAGCACTAACATCTTATTTATCCTAACCTTAAGCCTAATAAAGATACCGGTTAGCAAACAATAGATTCGATACTGTACTATCCTGCATGTCCTTGCATAAGAAAATGAACTCGTCATTCCCACAGGAAAAAGATGGATGTTAGCGTGACGCTGACGTGACGCCGACGTGACGCTGATTGTGACACAGCACGGATCACGCCAACCAGAGCTGTTGCCACGTCACCCCCTAGCGCGACTGGTGGTCGCCGCTAACACCCCAGTAGCCCATGACGCATGCGCAGACCTGACGCCCAGTGACATGACGTTAAATCCGACATGACGTTTGGCACACAAGATTCAGTTTGAGAAGAGGGGGGACGGGGGAGGGGAGGGGGGACCCTCTTAAGTCGGATATGAACTCGGCGACTGGTCTAGTAGTTAGGGGGAGAAATTCAGGCGCCAGTAGTGTTGGGGCGTCCGGTGCTCGTCTGCTGTTTCTGCTTGTCAGTGTACATCACGTCTGCTTCGCCCTGACATGCTGCAGACGTCTCAAACGCTCGTCAGGTGGGTTCAGGTGAGGCACGTGATGCGTGGGTATTGAAGCGAAAGGATCGCGTTTACTTTGTGGTCGTTAGCGATAGATTTGATCGTTTTGTCTGGTGAAGACCGAAAGTTTGAACATTTTTTTTATCGTACTTGCTTGTTGGAACTATATAAATAAACCACTGGGTTATGGGTTAGGTTTAGTTCTATAACTAAAACTATGATGATGACTAGTTAGTAGGTATGGGTTCGATAAAATCAACTAAAAAATTGAGAGAGAAATCTCCGAAAATCAAACATTTGTTACCTTGTTGAATTTTCTTGGGTGGACAAAGGCCATGGAAGCTAATTATAGAAACAAAAAGCAGGTTGAAATCCGAATCCACGGGCCATATGGCGTATAACATGTTGACACGTAATACTTAATTGTGTTGGAGGGAACCCCCTACAACATTACAATTAAGATCGAAGAAGAAAAAAAACAACATATTTTGCTTCTTTAAAAAAAACGAAATGAAAGAACTTTCATTCTTCGAAAAAAAGAAGCCAATTTTTTTTTTCTTGATCGGAACAATTCGTATCTACGACATCCATCTATTTCTCTTGTCTACCCCCCCCCCCCTACCCCTACTCCTAGACTGACCTTAATTCCGACCTCCAATACGGACTAGTGTTCAATCAAGGAATCAAACGGGATTGGCCAATCGTTTAGGGGGTTGAAATCGGATCGTCTCCATTTAACTGAAGCAAATTTGAGCGGGAATTAATTGACTTCTGTCTGAAGAATAAGTGGGTCGCATTCATTTTTCTCGCTGTCTCATGGGGCACGCAATAGCCCTATTAGCGAGTGGGGGGTGGGGTGGGGGCTGCGATAGGGCTTAGTCAACTCGTTACACGGACAAGGGCTTTTGGTCTAGATGAAACTTTATGATTAGAGAGCATGAATGCAATTTCTTCCCCGTTCATCTTTAATGACTTCTTTTGTTGGTTAAGTACCATTTTCTATTGTGTATATGTTGTTTTTTTTCCTTTTCTTTCCCTTCGTTCATTTCTTCGAGAAATCAATTACGTTTTAGTAATTTTGTTTTTAGTAAATTTAATTTGGTTTGTGAAGACTAAGCCAATTGAAAAACAAAATTGATAAAAGAAAACTATTTGATAATTATTGGACGTCCTATGGACAATTAAATCCGGACAAATATATTGTGTTGTTAAAAGTAACCAATGAAAATAAAAGGTAAATTTAGTTTTCGTAAATATTTAAAAAGTACTGGCTGTAACTACTATTGTTTCGTGTTTCGTACTATATTTTAATATAGCGCCGTGTACGAAAAAATTCATCAATTTTATTTTAAACTAGTTCTAATTTTTAGACACATAGCCTTTTGGATTCTCTAACCGATAATTCATAATTGCAAAATATACAAAATCCTATTCAATGATCAAATCTATTTGTAACCATTCAACTAAATTTTTAACTGCTGATCAACAGAAAAAAGGTAGATATGTTTCGCAAGAATTTTTTCCTGTTACACTAGTTCTGTGTAAACATTTTAATATTTATTTCACAAAATAATTTGAAATTTAGAAATGATAAAAAGTAAAATAAAAAGCTTGTTTTGGTATGATTAATTTATACAATAAAAATATATATCCAGCGTTTGTATTCTAATTATATAAAAAAAATGACCACCTTAAAAACACAAGTTTATTTAGTTTTATCCTCCTCCGTTTTTGTTTGAAGTCTATAAAAGCTCGCTTTAACGGAAACCCTATAACTCCCTTCACGACGGCCATCTTGCTGATGGCATTGGACAAATCACTGCTTAATGAGGCCAATCTCGCGACCTGTCACTCTCGTCTATCCCCGCGAGATTTCGTGACACCGGGCGTGTCCCTCCCCCTGTTGTTTTTCTTTCATTCCCCACCATTTCCACCGGTTTAGTCAAGTGTATGCGAACGCCTTGGAAGCCGACCTTTGGCTAATAAGGGCACGAGCAACGACGCCTCTTCTGCCGTCGGAGTTGGCGTGCCAGAAGTTAATGGCAAGCTGATGGTTTCATGGATAATTCTGGGGTTTTTTTTTTTCTTAAATTTTTTATACTCTAAATGTTAGAAGAAAACAGAGTACAGAAGCTATGTGTTGATTTTAACGTAAAGAACAAAAGGTGTTTACTGAAAGGCCACATATCATACTGAAGTTAAATACTACTAAGTAGTAACTTCAGTATGATATATGGCCTTCTGTACTGTTTTCTTATAACATCCTCTGTAGTTAGGAAACCCCGGCACAAAAGACCCTAAGAACCACGCATGTTGGTTAGACTTGCATGATCCTTAGACCAGCTATTTTTCACAATCTCAGGTACTAACCATGATTTTAAAGCTAATTCAGGCTATAACCATAACACTAGCCTAAATTTTAACTCTATTCAGAACTCTGCAGTAACGCTGGTCTTAATACTAACCCTTATCAAGACTATGTCATCTACAGATTTGATTTTTCCACAGACGGCCTCGTTCTACAGA